TAAAGAGCTGTTTGATTTCCCTCCTTTGTTCCCCTTTTTTTGTTCCCATAACGTCAGACACTACTTATCTACTTAAGGAAATTATCTCATATGTACTACATTGTATTCTTACCATCAATGAATATGGACAAAATTTTTACAAATCCTACTAATTTGAGATCCCATCCCGCAGCATCTTAGCCCAAATCCCTACCACAACCATACTAAACACACACAAGAAAAGCCTTTTAGGCAGTTCAATGTCAAGCCATTCAGCAAAAAGGAATTGTAATGGGCAAATTATCTTTGGCCTCATCCTTGTCTACAATCCTCTAATTGGAATGTACCCTATAAAAAATTACAAAAACAAACATCTTTTAGGCAGGTAGGTCTAACTCAAGTCATTGAACTATAAGAAAACATGTGTAGCCTCTCCTTGTTTTCGAGATAAATCTAGTCTCTGCCTTGACGCGATCCCTTTGGACAATAATTCATGCACATTCCACATATACGTGCAACCATAAACACTGATAACATAGTTTATATAGGCAGCCTCAGCTAACTGATGCTGTTTTTATGGTGTGTTTAATGATAGGTATTTTCCTGAGGGAATAGACATATACTTTGATAATGTTGGTGGAGAAATGTTAGAGGCTGCAGTTGCCAACATGAATACATTTGGAAGAGTGGCTGCATGTGGAGCAATTGCAGAATACACTGATAAAGAGAAAAAAGCTGTACTTGACGTGGTAGATGTGATCTACAAGCGAATAACTATCCGTGGGTTCCTGGCCTCTGATTACTTCAACGTCTATGGCGACTGTATAGCTTCAATCTCCGGTCATCTTCAGAAAGGGAGAATCCATGTGCTTGAAGACATCTCGCATGGCCTTGAGACTGCCCCTTCAGCCTTTGCAGGACTATTTCGTGGTGACAATGTCGGAAAGAAGATAATAAAGGTGGCTGATGCTTGCTTGAGGGAGTGTTTTACCTGAGCAGATTAGCACTTAAAAACAATATGAGAGGTTTACTCTTTGAATAAATCTGGAACAGGTCTCAAATGTTCGTGAAGAATGTAATTTTCCAAGTATTAATTTCGGAATTTTAGTTATGCAATCATAAAAAATTGTAGCTTTCTTACTTCTTGGATTAACTCTGCATCTTTCTTTCTTTCTTTTTATTAATGGTGGCTTGAACATCAATATGGAATCGGTTGCTCATTCCTACTTGAAAGCAAAAGTTTCTGAAATGGTTTTGGTGCTCAAATGATCCGATTATTCCAAGGGATCGAAGAGCATGAAAAATAATAAAAGGCATAGATTGGACATGATTTAACTCTTTTTTTTTTTCTTCTCTCAGATAATACTAGAGAGGTTTTAAACATGAATCTTGGAGATAGGAGAATGCAGACCGACTATTTCATACTTACATAAGAAGGTTTTCTATTCATTGTGAGTTGGTCAGATGCCAACTGAAAACAAAAAGTGCACGACTATTAGTCTCCAGTCCCCCGAGACAGCGTAACTCCCTCTCCATTTCAGTGATTAGGGTGCTAAATCCGATACGGGGGGCCTAAAGGGAACATCAACGAGGTATCTATGGATAGGAATTCCAATAGAATGGGCAAGGCACCTTATGCAACTTCAGTCGACGAAAGATGCGCAGTAAATCTCACTTGGATGACATATTTATCAGGACAACCAGATAGAACAGGTAAGACATTTACCGGGGCACCTTAGGCAACTTCATTTAGGAAAGATAAAGGCATCGTCAACAATGTATGGGTCCTGCAACCAACAGTAAGGGGACCGGGCCTCGCGCTAACAAGCTAGCCAATGAAACAGGGGAGAATGACATCAGAACAGAGAGAGAGAGAGAGAGAAGTTCCTGCTCAAGCAAAGTCGTGAATAGAAAGAGAAGGTTTTCTGCACTCATTCCGCCAAAAAGTTTCCTTTAAAAAAAATTCTAGAGATTGTGGTTTTAACTCTACTGTCTTTTGGTGAGAATTTAGTGCGGAATCACATAAATCTTGATGTCTTCTCGTGATACTTCACTACAGCTTTTGTGCACCCTTTCAGTAGGCCTAATCCCAACAAGTGGTACGAGAGCGGGCTGCGTGACAGTTGAGTTGAGTTGAGTTCTCTTATGTTGTTGTAGGGACAGTTGACTTAAGTTATACCAGAGGCTCTGTATCTTCAGCCTCCAGCGCTGAACAATCACGGACTCGTCCCTGAGCTTCATCATGATAAGACACGACCTCCTAATCATTACACAACTCTAGCCTCATCAAACTTTATAAGTTACAATGAATAAAAGAGGATACCAAAGAATTATCCACCTGCATCCATCCATCCATCAAGATCCAAATTCATGAAAACCCTCAGTTTATGTAACATCACTAATTTCGGAAGAAGTAATGCAGGTTAAGGAATTTTACCGTTGATCGGTCGCGCCGACACTATGGGGAATTGTTTGACATTTATAGGGAGGGAAATTTCGAAGATGGTATTTATTGGTCTATAAGCTGGGGTTAAAAGATTGAAATGTACTTTAGGGCAAAATTCTCAAAAAAAAAAAAAAAAAAAAAAAAAAACTGGCGTTTCTTCAAAGAGTCATAAAACACCGTTAAGTTTTGCTGTTCTCAGGTAACTTGCTGCTTTAAACAGGTGTTAGTTGGACAAATTTTCAAAACCAACCCTTTTCATGATTTAATTGCAAAAAACGACCCGTTTCTGTTTTATTTAGAGAAACCGACCTGGTTTCAGCACTGTCGCCGAAACCAGGTCGGTTTTTGAAAAAAAAATTTACGAAACTTCACGGGAGTTGAACTCCCGTGAAGTTTTTTCTCATAACAAAACTTCACGGGAGTTGAACTCCCGTGAAGTTTGGGGAAAATTTTTTCAAAAACCGACCCAGTTTCAACCAACTGGGTCGGTTTTTATAAATAAAATAGAAACGGGTCGTTTTTTGCAATTAAATCATGAAATGGGTCGGTTTTGAAAATTTGTCTGGTGTTAGTTTGGAGGGTTTTCTAACAAAACTTAAAAGGGGTTTTTGTGACAACTTGAGAGTTAAGGGGATGTCTAAGAAACACTCACATTTAAGGGGGATTCAGAAAGCACTCTTAAAAGGGAATGAGAGTTAAGTAACACCATTAGTTTGTGTTTAGAGGAAATTATAGTTTACAATCCTGTAACACTTCGAATTCACAACGTCTAAAGTACAAATATATTTTTTTCCCATTTTTATTTAATCTGTTGTCTTCCAGTAAAGACCAATGGAACAATATGAATCTTTGGAAAACGCTTTCTAAGCATTATGAGATGAAATGTTGTCAAATTGCAGATACCACATCCGATTGATCAACATCATAAATTTCCTTCTACATCTATATCCATATCTATCTATACTACTATAAAAAGAGGATTCAAGTCAGCTTTTGATAAATTCTAATTATGACATTATCTCTAATTAATCTTTCATTAAATAAATATAACATCTCATTAATTATGCACCCCCTCACCTCCTAAATAATGATACTTATCAATAATATTATAACTATTAATTATTTAAAAATAATAAAATAAAATAATTTATAAAATAAGTATACAATTATTAGTAGTAACCAATTAAATTATTATAATTATTATTTATGAATCATAATAAAATAATTAAAATAATAGTATAAATAGAATAATATATTAGTAAATACTGTTAAGAACTATACTATTTCAATGAGCAACAGAATAAATAGGATAAATTTTGAATCACATAAATAGTGTAATTATTTTAATAATATCATACAAATTATGAATTACACTATTTATTTAGTATTATACTATTAAATAAATTAAATAAATAATTTTATATTACTTTTAGCGTATTTTCTCAAAGATTATTACATGATATTGAATAATCTACACTTGGTAATGATTGAAAACTAGCCTTTTTACTAAACAATTATTTAATATTAACAATAGTACTACTAATTGTTAACGCTAGTATAATAAAACTTTATAAAAATATTTATAAGACTAAATCATTTAGGAGCAAAATTTAAAAAATTAAATTAGATAAATATTTTATAGTATATATAATTATTTTAATAGTATTACTTGAACTAAGAATTATAATATTAAATAAGGTAAATTACAGTAACCCCCTATAAACTTTCAGCATTTTGCAGTTAATGGACCCTATGAACTTTCGAAATCACACTAAACCCCTAATAAAATTTGTGGAAAGCCCCCGGTATCTTTTAGATAAATTACACCAAACCAAAAATAACATTCAAAATGCTTTTTATGTCATTTTCTGGTTCTAATTTATAGGGGTTATCTACAAAATTCAAAAAGCTATCGAGGATCTTCTTTGTAACAAGAAAGTCACTAGGTGTTTAGTGTAATTTTGGAAGTTCATACGGGCTAAAATTTCATATGGGCTTAGAGTAATTTATCCTATTAAATAATTATAATGAGAAGTAACTATTATAATATTTGCAGGTGTCAAGTGTAACTATCTATGGAATATCAGGAAGAAGCTAGCAAGATTAATACAACTTAATTAATATAGAGTTAAGTTAATAACTTTCAAGTTAGAGGGGCATATTTAAAAGAACCTGTAGAATTAGCAGTTTTATTTAAGAACAAATTTAGATTTGAGGACTTATCTAAAAAAGATTAACATTGGGTGATCATTATAAAAAAAAACATTACTCCATAATAATAATTAATTCATACATTTCTTTTGAAGCAATCTTATTATGCAATTTTATTTACTAACACACAGTTTTACTATTCAAAAAAAAATTAAAACTTAAAACGTATACGTTCACATGTAAAGCACGTGCATCATGATGGTATTCCATAAATAACATACCCTGGCAAATAACATGCACCACTTGCTGGTAAGCCACTAGCTTAATTGGAGACGTCAGCAGATGAACCTCTATAGGACAATCAAATACAAACTGCGGATAGCAATCTTTATTGTACAAACAAAAGTAGTTATAAGCCAGAGTATTGATCGTGAAGAGCTGCATATTTGATCATATATCGTAAATAAATATAACAATGTAATACCTCACCCACCCACATACACGCACTTCCTCCTAGACAAAATCTAAGGTCAATCAAAGATGCCTACAGTGTGAATATAAATACATATTGTTAACAACATGCACTTATTCATTCTGCTGATCCGAACTCAGACTTGCAACTAAAACAGCAGCAGCAGCAGGCCAGAGAACTTCTTTACACCAGAATACGGTGAGCACCACTCCGAATTGTACAAAAAAAAAACTCACATTCTCCGTGGTAACACAATGTACAAAAATCATATGCAATGCTTCTTATCGAACCCCTCAGCCGAAATCAAACCTGAAATCAAACGTTTCAACCTCTCAGCCCCAGGTCCAGGCCTAAGTTGCTTCAAATCCTTCACAAACTCCTTTGGATCACTCAAATTAGCTTCAATACTATTTGTCCAACCACCAGGAACAAAACCATTGGCTTCTCGACCGAGAAGTTCTTTATCAATCTTATCAAGGAGAGCGGGGTTATCTCTTACGAATTTCCTCGCAAACGGTGTGTTGCTATTGACCATCTTTGAGAAGTCATCGAGGGTTAGGAAATGGGGATGTTGCTTCGGAGGGTTGTCCCAGGAGATGAAGTGGAGGTCGTGGTTGACGGTGGTGTTTTTGAACTCAGGAGCATTGCAGATGACGGTGTGGAAGTAGCCTTCAGGGGAGGAGAGAAAGTTAGAGTAGTACATCAGGACAGTTCGGGGGAGGTTGTCCCATCCCCAGATGCAGTATTCGATGAACTGATGAGAAAGCATCATCCATGCAGAGCCTACACAGAATGAACAGTTATATTTACAGTAATTATGATTTGAAAGAAGAAGACGTTTTTGGAAAACACTATTTTTTAAAATCCATTTAGGACATGATACTACCAGTCTTAAAGGTTATAACATAAAGGTACAAATAGGAGATTGTAACTCACGTGATGTTTGCAAACAAGTTTTATATGACTTCTGAAGACACAAACCTTGCATCAGAATCTTGATGTTCAATGCTAAATAACAAAAACATTATTGGGGTACACTCACTGAATATGCAAAGATAGGAAGGTTTTTATGCTTGCCTGATACTGCGGTCTGCTAGAATGTCCTTAGCTGGATGAGCAGATCAAATAGTCTAAACAGGGAACCAAAGACGACATTCATCCCCCCAAGGCATAAACAAATGATTGCACAAGCATGAAAGCTAGAAAATTTTGGCATCTATAAAGACATTATAATAAAGAACAAGTATAACAAACATGGAGATGCCAAGGTGATGACTCACTGCACTTCAAAGAATTTGGCACAACAGAAGTATTGCATATGGGCATGGGTGGATGAAATGCAGTAAACAATTGGAAAAGTCAGGCATATTAAGGATAGCCTTCACTAAAGATGAACAAATTGGAAATCAAAGAATAGCCTTGACTAAAGACCAAATAAGGCTCAATCAAAGAAGGAGATGAGAAGGGTTACAAGCATATCAACACTGGAAAGAGTTTTGTGTTCGAATGTAGAAACTCCTATACAAAAGCTTCAGCTAAGCTGTACCACTCAATTCCTTTTTCCCCCCCTTGCAACATAAAATAATTAATCTGTTAGAGAACTAATAAAGTCTAAGCTCGTGCCCTGATCTTATCAATGATGCCTTACATAAATAGCTGACTCAGTGACACACGCCACAGGTGAACAGTGCAATTTTACATGCTACCAGAAACAGGTTGATTGATGAAATGCAAAAGTAAGTTTTAAGTGGCAGTAAGCAAGCAAGCTCTGATACTATAAAAGTTACCATATGCTCAATTATTTAGACATTACACAGGAGTGCATGAGAGAGAGGCCCAATCAACTACTAGTTGACTAAATTACTTCTCCTTTGATTCAAATCTGAAATGCAAAAGTATGATGAACACAAATATAGGAGTTGAGTGAAGGAAAAGCTTGTTTTTAATTGGTATTCTCAATGCATCCCACAGAACATCATATTATTTGCAATCAGTAAGAGTTTCTGAGAATAATGTTGCACCAATAGGAAGATAAGAGCAAAGAGGTTTGCACACATAAGATGCGTATAAGAGATGTGAATATGTAGACATGAACAAAGTAAGAAATTTTGGAACAGCTTGCTAGGAAGGTCGATCAGCAAAGACATGGGGTGCATGAGATGAGAATATGAGATACAACTATGTTGAAATGAATAGTGGAACTGCCAGAAAGCTGAGTTCATGTAACCGTTATTTAAAGTCAAACGTTTAGAAAGAGGGTGAATTTAATGATATCTGATTCAGAAGGCATGTTCTTCTGCCACAAAATGAGTACAGCTCAAAGGAAAACATTGTTAAAACTAATGTAGAAATGTCAATAAAAGGTTCATATGATTTTTATTTACTTTCATTGTTAAAACTCATGTAGAAATGTTAACAAAAGCTTCATATGATTTTTATTGTTAAAACTCATATAGAAATGTCAATGAAAGGTTCATATGATTTTTAGGTAGAAATGGGGCAGAAACCAGATGTAAGAAATGGCAATGGTTGACAATGACACGATCATTGACTAATGTAATGCTTAAACGTTGATGGTACTTGTTCAAGAGACTAGGATAGCAACTAACCACGAATATTCCTTGTATTATTATGCTGCCATAAAGGACTGTAATCTACCTGTTTTCTTATACTAATCAAAGTTTATAATACTAATGAATGAAAATGGTAAAGCCATCGTTCAAACTTTAACAATTAATTAATTAATTATAAGCAAGATCACAAAGATTATTTTTGGTGGTTAATAATGAGTTTTAAGGTTACTGGTTATGCTCAGAAAGTGAGCAAGCATGTCGATTGACAAGGATATTTGATGATTCATATGGATATAGACCTAAGATCATACTAGTCGCATTAAGAATAGCTTTATTGTGCGCAGAAGATAGTGATAGAGCCAGTTGGAACATAGACCTAACCTCATGCTACTCACATTAACAAAAGATTTACTAAGCAGAAAACATGTGTAAAATAACTCAGAATATTGTCAAGATTTTCACAAGTGACTAGTGAATTATAGGCAGACTGGACAATGGAAATTCTTATATGGAGGGGAGTTACAGATATTTGATTTACTATTCTGTCCTTGGAGTTCTTTAGTTCACATGAGTGCTGGTCTGGTGCTCTTCAAAGTAAGACAAGGTATTTTTGTTAAATAGTAAGATATAAGCTCGAGTCGAGACGAGTTTAAATTTCCATCCAGGTAATATTTGAGGGTATTTGGGTAGCTAAGTTTTTGGTCAAAGTAGCTTTTAAGCTCGCATTTTCATATCTACCAGTCGTGACAACTCAATAAGGTAGCTTTTAAGACCCATTTAAAAAAGTTGGGGTTCCCAACTTTTGAAAAATTAACTCATAAGCTCACACAAATAAACTAAGTTTGACCAAGCGAATGACTTCTCTATCCATACAAGTTTTATGTTCTTTTTTTGTCATAAAACCAAAGGTAGCTTAACTTATAAGCTTCAAAAATAAGCCCTCCCCAAACAACCTCAAAGTATTCACAAGCCACAAGTATATGAAGAGAGCCCCCAGAAATTTGGAATTCAGGAAGTAGAAATTTTCCTTTCTTTTTTATTCTTTTGTCATGGACTATTAAAGTTCCCATGAAAAATAATGTGAGTAAGATCATTGCTATGTAAAACAATAAGTTGTTACTGGTGAAGGGAGAATGCAAAAACTCACACCTACAACAGCTGCTTACAATTCAACAAGTGGGCACCAATATGGGCATTGTCCTAAGCCAATATTTTGAGTATCACGGCTCATTATAGTTTACAAAGATGCCACTGAACATGCAGTTTTTAACTGGTTATAAACAAGTAATTTTGTCTCTTCAGTTTTTTAACTGGATATAAACAAGTAATTTGGTCTCTTTTAGAAAGATAAAGAACCCATGGGTTTGTGCTTTTCTTGTTAGAGGCAAGGAAAGCAAGAGAGAAGCAACATTCAATATTGCTACTTGACATATGATAATTACATTACATTCATGCTTTTTCTAGGCAAGTATTTGGCAACAGTTATACATCAATGTAGATATGCTCGTGATAGATAATCCCGTAATATTAATATGATACTTAAAGCCACAATAAAATCATCTACTGCCATATACCAAGATTAGTGTTCTAGATTACCAATGATTTATTTCTTTTACATCTTGGTTCTTCTTTCTTTTTAAGATTCACACTATACACAAGTATTTAAAGTACTAAAGATGAGCCCTATCACAATTCAAGTATTTACACATGAGCGTCATGATGTTGGCATGGTAAATATTTTGACCATTAACATACAATATATCATTATATCTGGTTATTCTAACAACTAATTTCTCAATATGAAATATACTAAAAATGAAAGAATAAACAATGGAGTCAATTTTTAACTTCTTTGTAAGGACACTAGTAATTTTGACATCTTTCCAATACATAAATGATGTCCTGTTGCTTTTTAGGAATATCGTTTTCTCTACCAAAATCTACAAATTTCCCTACTTCAGCTCCAACCAACCCAAAGCAAACAATATTAATAAAACTATTAGTTGAAGTTCTTATATATGATTTTACAAATTAACAAAAGAGAGGTAGTCAAACTAAAGAAATTGCATCCTCAATTATAAACCCATATAAATGTAGAAGCCACATAAACATCCTCTTTAAAGTAAGGCTTTAGCCCCTACTAGCCGCTTAAACTATTCATTTTGTCCCTTCGTGCCCCCTAAACTATTTTTCACCTTATCCGACCACCCTGAATTATTAAATTCATCCCCTTAGCCCCGTGAACTATTTCCGGCCCCACATTACCCCCTAAACTATCACTTCAGTCCAACCTTACCCTTTGAATTGTCACTTTATCCATTTAAAATGCCCACAAATTAATAGAAGAGAATTGGCAACTGGTACCAAAGAGATAGTTCTAAAATAAAACTAAAAATAGTTTAGGGGGTAAGAAGGAACAAATTGAAGAGTTTAGGGGGCAAGTAGGGGCTGAAACCTGAATGTAATAATCAAATAGCTGGAATTTATCCAAGTTTCTAATACCACGATACTTGAATAGCTTTTATCTTGCATTAGATATTATGCATTCAAATCTTCAATATGACACATAAAGCCTTTTTGTATATGTGTTTTATACCTTGGACAAGGTTTAATGCCTTGGAGGCTTGAGTATCTATTGCCCTGGGTTGTTGGGTTTTTCAGGTTCCCCTAGTGCACACACCTAGGAATATGCTATAGAAATTTGTTAATGACATGACCGAAAAAGAAAATACAAGTTTTCACCATTTTAATTTTTTCATAGCCTTCTATTCTGTAATGGGAACATGGCAGACCAAGCTCAAAATAGTTGTCTACATATGTTTTCAGAATCCGTGAGTGTTCATGCACCCTCCTAATGAACTTGGTAGAAATGAACCAGCACTGTTGTTGCAAGGTTCATTGTCTTTAAGTTTTAAAACAGGAAACTTTGTAGCTTTATTTCATTTTCTAACTTTAGACTATAATTGCCTGAACAGTTACAGTTGTCATTGTAAGATTATCTCAAGATTACAGTCTAAACAGTAACCATAAACACCACCCCGCTATAATACGGAATATACTATTCTATTTCTAACCTTCAAATTATGAAAATGAAACAAATCAGCCAACTTCTACGCTAAATCACCAACACCTAGTGTTGTCTTTTGCTATGTCAAGTAAGGTCTTCAGAAGTGGAAAGATTATGCCTGCAAATGCATAACATTCCTTATTGATACCTCACCTGTAAAGAGCTTGAATGCAGAGGGTACGCTCCTTTTTTCTGTAACCCAAAATACGTCGGATTTCTTCAAGCTATATAGCCCAGGATCTATGATAACAGGTCTGGCCCTCTGGAACCTGCCAATTGGTATTACAAAGTCACATTAGACAAAGTTCAACACAAGGATGAAAAACAATTGGTCAACAAGGATGATCAGCATACTCTTTCCATCCTATATCGCTCGTGTGCTCGATAAAGTTCAGTTCTCTAGGTAGAGTTGCCAATGTATAGAGAATATCTGCTCGATCAAGTAAAAAATAAGAAATCAGATAAAGTCAAGAACCAGAAGTATTGGACGAATTCAATTGCATTGCAATAAATGTGTCTACATCCGCAACATATAAGATAGCAGACAAAGAAGCAATGTAAGAGAATCTAAGAAACCTTCTAAATTGCCCAATAGATGACTAGGCACTTCCCATATAAGACAAGTTGGAAGCTAATTTATATATGAAAGCCTCCTCAGTTTTCATTCTAACATATAATTCAAAACGAATTTCAAACAGGTGCCTATGGGCACTAGTTAGGGGATAAGAGAGAGAGAGAGAGAGAGAGAGAGAGAGAGAGAGAGAGAGAAAAAAATAGCAAGTGGGCTCCCGCCGATTTGAACTAAATTCTCTCCTCACTCTATCTCTCATCCTAATGAGTGCCCATGGACACCTAATAGAAAACCCCAATTCAAAATCATCTAATAAATAACATACTAAAATTGTCAAATACTACTAGTAAACTTTAAAAAAAACATCTCAGAATACCAAAAAAACTTAAGCTCCAACCTAATGCAGCTACATGTAAACATTGACATTCAATTCTTGAGTGCTCCCAAATATGTCATTCTAAATCAGGAAATATTAGAAATAAGAAACTAAGAACTAAATGTGTTAAAACAAATTCAAAACAAGAAGTATTAATCACGCATGAAGAAAAGCAGCTGAAATGGCAAGTGATCTGATATAAAGACATGCATAGATAAAGACAAGAATCAGACAATTCTCTGATAATGCATAAAAAAAGCCCTCACCAAATACAAGCACAAAAAAATCGCAGGTCCCTCAACTGCTCCCATATGCATAATTCCAAAAGAGGCAAAACATAAACATCCCTAAATTCTCGCTCATACCACCACAAGATTCAAACTTTCCGAATCCAGACCCATTAAACCCTACCAAAATTAAATAAACACATCACAAAACCCCGAATAAATCACTTACCATCCTGGGTCACAAGCGGGTAATCCGAAGCACTGAGATTAATGAACCAATCCCAATCCCCTCCCTCCTTGATCAAGATCGCCGCCGCATGCAGCGTGTTAGCAACCATCGTAGGCCCCCTATACGTAACCAAATTAGCCTTCTTCACAACCCTAACATTCCCAAATCTCTTGTAAGTGGGGTCCGCCCTAATCTCCACGGCCACCTCCAATCTCTCCACTGCCGACGCCTCCAGATCAAGATGCACCACGTAGAAATTTGCCGGGTGAAATAGAGAGCCCTAAGCGTTCGCCTCAAGCTCGCGCCATCCCGGCCGAGCCACGAGATCAGGTACGCGAGCCTCGGGCAACGGGTTCAGGCGGCGGCGGCGGGGAACGGCGGAGCTTCTGCTCGAACGAAGAGGGGGTCGCCGTGCCCGGCGAGGCGGCAGAGATCTGGAAAAGCTGAGGTGGCGGGAAAGGGGAGGAGGAGAGGAGAAGAGGGAGAGGGAGATGAGGAGAGAAGGAGATTAAGGAGGGAGGAGAGGAAGGGGGATCACGCATTTCTTTTGGTGAGGAGAGGGTATTCGTCTGTCCATTGACGGCGGCGGCGGAAGGAGGGCGAGGAGAGGAGGTGCAGGTTACCGGCGAGTGAGAGCGGGGGTTTTGGTTTCGCATCTGAGGGTGGGAAATAATTTGAGTGGTGGACTTGGAGGTGAGTGTTGACTTAAGTTTACGGGAGGGTATGGGGCTGCGTTTGCGTGGGTGCGTAGATCTTTCATTCAAAAGTAACTGCTTTTGTTACACTATGTGGGGCCCGCTTCTCAGTGAACGGGTGGATAAATGGCTAGTTCCGCCCGGCATCAGTCATTTTAATCTACTAGAAATTTACTATTCATACTGTAGTGCGATCTTTGGCGATCTAAAAGTGAATTTAAAATATGAAATGGTTAATTTTCTTTGTAAATAAATTTTACATTCATGTCAGCACGTAAGTGAAATATAGTGTTTGTTTGAAAATTTAAATTATTATCAAAAGTGTAATGTGAAGATGACGTGGCAAAATAAGATTAATTAGAAAGTATAATTAAAATTATTTAATTATGTGAAGATGACGTGGCAAAATAAGATTAATTAGAAAGTATAATTAAAATTATTTAATTAAATTAGTTATCTTTTTGTCACTTTGGCAAAATAAGATTAATTAGAAAGTATAATTAAAATTATTTAATTAAATTAGTTATCTTTTTGTCACTTTTATGTGACTTTACCCCTTTTTTAAGAGAAGTCAAAATTATATTAAATTATATGTGATAACTTTCTTGCATCTCACTTTCATAACCACTTACAAGAAAACAAACACCATAATTGTTAAATGAAAATAACTTTCTCACTTTCATATTTCACTTGCATGCAAACAAACACCACATGCTACTAGCATTTACTGTAGTATTTATTACTGTAGCTACATGAAACTGAACACAACAGTTTTTTTTGAAAAATATTACTGTAGCATACGGGAATACTGTAGCAGTCGGGATACTACATCAATTCAAAAAATTACTGTGACAGTTAAAATCAGGATTACTATAGCAGGAAAAAATATGTCATGCTTTACACCGTGTTCACACCAATTATTTATATTTTAAAATTAGTCCTTCAAACCGTGGAAATTGTTACGCGGTCCCTAGAGTGGTGTGAATTGTTTCAAATTAGTTCACTGGCAGAATTCTTGTCCCCTGTGATACTACCGTAATTGGTTATTTAGTATTATGATATTCTACTGTTACTAGATGCGTATCCAACACAATTGAAAGAGGAAAGGGTTGTAATGAGAAAGGACGGCAAACATAAGAATATAAGTGACATACCATGTCAAAAATTTAATCTGAAATGTAAAGTTCGCGACGATCAAACAATAACAAAGTTGAGGGACTATTGTGAAATAGTTTATAAGATTCGAGGGACAAGTTTAAACTATTAAAGATGTAAGGGACAAATGTGGAAAGAACCTAGTCGCTATTATGTAGTGGTACGGTTTTTTTTTTAAGTGGTGGGGCCGGCTCTAGTTTTATTGAAGTCACGAATCGGAAGGAGAGGGTGTGGAAACGTCTTGAGGACTGGAAATAACGCACCCATGGGTACACCCCATGCTTAAAGTGGTAAAGCATGTGGGTGTTTTTTTTGGGTGGAAAATAATTTCTTACGGGCTTTAATAAATGTTTGAAAATACAAACCGTAGAAAGACGAGCCCCGGGAGAAAGAGCTTGGAGGTTTTGACGGAAGAAAGTAGGAGACTTTTGGTTTGGGCTTCTGTTGATTCGTAGGCCATTGAAGTTTTGGAGGAAGAAAGTAGGAGACTTTTGGTTTGTATATATATATATATAGGATTTCTGATGCGGACTGATGCGTACGCATCTGGCTGAGTTGGTAAGAGAAGGCCACAGACCTTTGTTCATACAGTAGAATTAAAAAGAGTTTCTTAATAACGATGGATGTCCAATAAGGGCATGTTCATTTGCCTAAAAAAAGAGGGAAATCAAAGAAATGGAAAACTATTAAAATGAAGAATTGTTTTTGGAGTGTTTGGTTGGCTAAAAAAAGAAGGAAATCAAAGAAATGGAGATGAAATAATGTTAGTTGTCACATTATTATTGGATGATGTGAGTGATTTTTTAAGAAAACTAGTTTTGATGTTGTTCGGTTGGCGAAAAAAATAAGGAAATGAATTATGAGAAACCTATTTCCTGTAGTTTGTTATTTTCTTTTGTTCGGTTCATTCTAAAAAATAAGAAATGAAATGAGATGGGATGAGTTGTCATTGTATTATTGGGCGATGTGATCCAAGATTAAGAAAAGTGTTTTCACAACTTTTTGGGATGAAAACAAAGAAATGAAATGTTAATGAGATGAGGTGAATTGTTATAATATTTTATTGGATGATGTGAGTGATTTGAAATGATGAGAAGAGATGAGTTGAGTGATGTTTGGATGAAAATAATATTTTATTAGATGTGATGGATGAGTTGTTAGATGAAAATAATATTTTATTAAATATGATAGATGAGTGGTTAGATAAAAATAATATTTTATTAGATGATGTGGATGAGTTGTTGGATGAAAATAATATTATAATATTTTATTAGATGATGTGGATGAGTTGTTGGATGAAAATAATATTTTATTAGATGTTGTGGGTGAGTTTTAGGGATGAAAATAATATTTTATTAGATGTTGTGGGTGAGTTTTAGGGATGGAAATGGAGGAAATAGAACTTTTTGATATTTTTCACCTTTTCCATTTTCATTTCTTGATTTTTAGAAAACAAATGAACAGGCAAGATTATAACTAAATACATATACAAGTGTCATCAGATACCATGAAACAACTTGTATAGCTTACAAAATATTCAAATTGTTCCTCATGACTAAACTTACCAATATATATTAAAAGCTGTAATAATTAGTTCAAACATATAAATGATTCCCTCAGAAAGAGCATAACGATTAATCAGATTATCAGCATTAGCATGGTCTATAAGAACCTCATAGGGAATCAAGCCAACAAACACGTAACCATGAAAGGAAGAAAAGGAGTGTACAAGATAACATACATTAAAACGAGATTCAGATGAAGACCGTCTTCATATGAGCACATCATCCCCATCTTCGCTTGATGATCCATTACCCTCTTGCCAATTTGTATCACCGCATGTAGAAGACCTACATTATAATGAAAATATATATATATACACCAAGGGGATAATAGAAGGTGAAAAATAAGAAATGCTTAAATAATAAAGGAATTACTACTTACGGATTTGTGGGTGCCAGACAATTTCGCTTATCATTGGCCTACTTTACCACACCCGTGGCAACGTCTATCTTTTTTATTTTTTGCTCTAGCCATTGCTTTCTCTTTTCCTCCCTTCAACCTTTTGCCGCACCCTTTTGCTCGCACTTGATCGGGTTCATTGAAACTATTTTGAAAAGTACAAGAATCCTCCACACTAGTACCATCATCCATTAAATTACTACTCATTTGATTATTTTTCTCGATGAAGCTCTTTGCAACCGTGCGGCCACTAACCATGTGGCTACTAATGAATTGGTCGATTTGCTCATTAATGATGCGCACTCCATTGGTAAACATCTTCCTCGTTTCTTCACATACAAGGGACTTGTCAACTAATTCCAAAGATGATTGGATAAATTGACTCCGTGTTAAAAGATAAGAATTGTCAGGGCTTATCGGCATACCTTTATCATCAACCACTATCCCCGATTTTGCAGACTTAGTCCACCTCCTTAAGATGTATTTATCGGGCAATATTTCAGCATCAAATTTCATCAAGTAGGAGATAATGTGAGTACATACGATTCCGGCGCTTTCAAACTTTTTACAACTACAAGAAACCAAATCCAAGTCCTTGTCGTAAACGATTTCGCAGACTTTGCTTGTTGAGTTGCCCTAACAAACTGTAACTTGTAGTTAAAGCTGTCACACACTTCAGCCTCAAACTTGAAATACATCTCATTAGTGTAAATATCAACCATTTGCTCCAAAAAGTCATGATTTATTCTAAGTTTAGGTTTCTCAATCAAGTCTTTGTGATCGGCCATCAACTCCTCGTGACGTTGGCGCACTAGTCCCCTGCCAAACTGTATCATAAAATCCACCAATGAATTATTCTTCGAAACAAATTTCTTAAAGAATGCATGTCCACTTTCTGCTCGTTGGCTACTTGACATGTCTGCTGAGAAAATGTGATTAACATATGCAGGAATCCATCTTGACCGAAGTTCATATTGGTCTTGCAACCACTTGTTTCCTTCTAACCTACTTTTCTTAATCAGACTTTCCCATTGTAAATCAAATTCTTCAGGAGTCTCTGATTTCCAAATGCAAGCCGAGAACTCACTTTTGTAAATACTATACTTCGTTGCATCAATTTTCTCAGAAAACTTCATTAATATATACCAACTACAATACCTGTCAAAAGAATTAAAAAAGTGTTAAAAAGAAAGGCTATGTATATAAATATTTTCAATAATATATACAAACTATAATACCTGTGAAAAGTATTTGGAAGAACAATAGGAAATGCCTTAGTCATCGCTGGGTCTTGATCGGTAATAATCATCTTCAGGGCACCACCAAGCATACTTTCCAAAAATTGATTAAATAACCATACAAAATCATCAACGCTCTCATGATTCAAAAATCCACAAGCAAAAACAATTGTTTGACCATGATTGTTAACCCCCATTATTGGTGCAAATATAAGGCCATAGCGATTAGTGTTATAAGTAGTATCAAAGATTACAACATCATCGAAAAATTTATAAGCCCGCCTTGATCTTGCATCGGACCAAAAACAACGAGTAATCTTTTGTTCCTCATCGGCCTCAATTTGAAAAGTAAATGAGGGATTATTTCCTTGTTCCAATTTTAAATACTCATAAAACATTTCACCATCATGCTCCTTCAAATCAGCACGGATATCCCTTGCATGATTATACAAATCTCTTTGAGTGCACCCAATATTTTCTATACCTCCAGATTGTACTCCAAGTAAACTGAATTGTTGATGCTGAGGTATATTCACCATGGATAACTCTATACCTCCAGATTGTACTCCAAGTAAACTGAATTGTTGATGCTGAGGTATATTCACCATGGATAACTGTTTAGTTGGAGACTTTGTTACGGCTGAAACGTTACGATGGGACCTTAAAAGATGAACCTTTGATGGTGTTGATAGTGGGTGGCTGTGCTCCTCATTAAAAACAGTAACAATGTATTTTTCGGAGTTTGATTTTAAAACAACAATTTTGGCAGTACAATCCTCAGCTAAGCTTCCTCGACGTCTTTTTTTTCTTCCAACATCCGCGATTTTTAGAGATTTTCCTTGTTTAAAACAAACATACTCCTTCCTTCTTATTTCACAACTTCCCGGCTCTTTCTGAGTAGTCCAAGACCTTACACTAAACCCAGCTGCTTTAGCATAAGTATTATAGAATGTCACAACATCATCTATTGTGTCAAATTCTTGCCCTTTTTTTGCCTCAACTCATCTGATACTTGAGGAGTATATATTAAATCATCGTCATCCAAGTTTACTTCAAGGAGTATATATTAAATCATCGTCATCCAAGTTTACTTCATTAGCTTCAGTGCCCAAGTTATCCATTCTGTAATTAACCATGTTAAAAATATATTTCAGTGCCCAAGTTATCCATTCTGTAATTAACCATGTTAAAAATATATGCAGATTAAGATGCAGCAAGTTTTGCATACTAACAATATAGGTATTATGGACATATTTTTTTGAAAAGAAATGCCTAAGAACCTTTTCAAGAACAAATTCCAGCATCTCATAGTGTTTTAAGGTTCTACACATCTTCATTTATTGAATACGTACATTTAGTTTCTTTAAAGAAAAAAGAGAAAAGAACGTTGACAACAGAACACTAATGTTCAGATTCAATCACTGTCCTGATTCACTAATAACAAGAAGCAAAATAATAATAATAATTAAAAGGCTAATTAAATCCAAGAACTTATTCAATCACTGTCCTGATTCACCAAACCATTCACCAAACCATCAATCAAGAACTTATTCAATCTAATGTTCAGAAAAGAGTAAAAGGCTACCGAGACCAAAAGAATTAATTAAATCCAAGAAAATGACCGACAGCCAGCCTTTGTTGACCATTTCATGCATCAAATCCCTAGTTCTTGTAATCAAGCTATAATTACAAAAAAAATGACCGACAAAAACCCTAATCAAAACTTGTAACGAGCTTGGAATGGGCTGAGATCGTTACCTGAGTTGGGGGAAGGCGGTGGCTTGGTGGAGGAGGAGAAATGGGGATCTCGAGTTGGGAAAGTCGATCTGTTGGGAAAGTCGATCCGTCGGCGGTGATGCTGCTTTCGCGGTGGGATCGAGTTGGGAAAGTCGATCCGTTGACGGAGGAGGAGAAATGGGGATTTTTGATGGGGTTTTTTGAGGAGAAATTGAGGAGAAATGGAGGTTTTGGAGGTTATATATATATATAGATTAATGGGTATCCTTGTCATAGGAGGGGATTTCCTCCTATGACACCTCTAAAATCACATGATTGAGCGACATTATGGATGATCTGCTCCGTTGAACTTGATCTACATATTCTAAAACCCCAACACACCAAGTTTGGGGTGAATCCGTCGTTGTTTGACCCTCCATCGAGCCATGTGAAAAGTTCTATTCATTCAAAACCGTTAAAATTGATACGAGTAGATGAAGGTAGATGTGGTGTAAAAATTATCATTTCATTTCACCTAGAAGCATACGAGCAAAATTGACCCGCGCAATAAGCATATGTGTACAAAAAAACAAAAGAAATAATAGCTTAATTTTTAACTTATAAATATATAGTGTAAATAATCACTTAAAACAAAATAGCAAAACTATAACAAGAAATAAATAACTTACACTATATATTAAACTGTTAAAATACAAATTAGATTTGTAAATAATCCGAGCCTTTTGGAAGTGGCTTATGACAAATAGTGGTGACACCTTGCGTTTATAGGCAAATATCCCTTTCTGGAAGTAGGTGAGATGAAAATTAAACGAATAAAACTTTGACTTTGAGAAAAATAGAAACTCATATTCAGTTTGTCATGTCAAAACGTCAATATTGCCAAAAAAAATATAATGATTATTGTATTTGATTTAAAAATACAGTATTTATAGCCACGAAAATTATTGAAAATTAAATCTAAAACATGGTGACTCACAGCGATAGCAAGTTTATAAAACTGCTGAAATACAAGGTAGGTTTAAAAGTAATTTGGTGAATTTTTTTGTGTGTAAAAGTAGTTTTAGAAGTAAGTGAGTTTAAAAATAAATGGGGTATAACTTTGATTTTATTGGACAAAAAATCTTGTAGGATCTTTTAGGAAGTGAGTAACTTTAATGGGACAAATACTTTAGGTGAGATATTTTCTTGGGTCAAAAAATGACTTTAAAGATGAGTGGGTTTAAAAATATATAAGGTGAAAACGTTGGGCTTATAGGTAAATTTTTAATATCTGATGAAATAAGTGGCTTAGAAAAAAGAGGTTTTCTCCAATATTAGTCCCTGACATCTATCATATTTTCAAATCAGCCATTCACATTATTGAAACTTTTATTAAGTCACTCAATTCCCAAATAATTTTGAAACTAATCCCTTACATTAGTGAAATTACTATTATGTTCTCCAATTCTTAAGTTATTTTGAAATTACTCACTTCATTGAAGTACAAAAGTAGCAATTAGAGATTAATTTGAAATGTATGAGTGTCAAATAGAAATTTTAAGGATTTGAGAGACAATTTTTCCTGTAATTGCTATTTTTATTCTTTATACTAAAGGAAATAATTTAAAAATAATGAGGATTTGGGAGGCTAATTTTCCTCTGATAAATATCTCTGCATTTGATTGAACGAACAAATTCTAAAATATCTTAAGATTTCAGGAACGTGAGAGCAATTTTAATAATTTGAGGGACTAATTTTAAAATAATTTAGGGGATTGAGGGAGTAAGTAGCAATTTCAATGATTAGAGGAAATAATTTCAAAATATGAAAGAATAATAAAGGGACTAACGGAAAGCCCCTTAATAAAAGGGGGAGGGGGTTGTAAAGGTTAGGGTTTAATAGAAGAAAACAAAAAAAGTGAAAGAGATTACTTGCTAATTACATTTTTGACTCTTCATTGAAATGGATAATTTAAAAATCATAAGGATTTGAGAGACTAATTTTCCTCTAATTGCTATTTCTACACTATTTTTGATTGACGGAAATTTTATCAATATAATTTAAGAATTAGGAGACCTAGTGAAAATTTTAATGATTTGGATCGACTAATTTCAAAATAATTTAGGGAATTAAGGGACTCAGTATCAATCTTAATGATTTGAAGAACTAATTTCAAAATATAAGAGATATAAGGGACTAATGGATAACCCTTAAAGTATCTCTTTTTTTTTGGGTTTGTTTGGAAGCTTTGCGGGTCCTTTTTGTTTGGGTGGAGGGGTTGGGGGTGGGCGTGGTGTTTTGGAGAGGTGTAAAGCTTTAAGAGCTTAATAGGAGGGGGGGGGGGGGGGAATAATTTCCCCTAATGAAATATTTCTACTCTTTATTGAAAAGAATAATTTAGAAATAATAAGAATTTGAGAGGCTAATTTTCCTCAAATTGCTATTTTCAATAACTTACTTGAGAATTAGAAGATCTAATAGCAATTTTAATGATTTATGGAATTAATTTCATAATAGCTTAGAATTGAGGGGCCTGCTAGCATTTTCAATAAATGGGGGAGTAATTTCAAAATATTTTTAAAGAAACTAACGGAAGATTGGGTTTAATAGGAAAAAAAACTAAAAATTTAAAGGAGAGTGGAGACGATTTACTAACCTGCAACTTATAACAGAGATGATATAGCACCAAGGTATATGCCCTTTTTATTCTATATTATATTACTATACTATTTTATATATTAAATTATTGGTTACTTCAGAAATGGACAGTGATAAACTCAATAACTTTGGTATATATATAAATATAAATGTAAATATTGTGTTGAAAGATAACAATATATATAGTAGCTATTGTATTATAGTTTTTTTTAGGGCTGGGCGTATTCGGTTCGGTTCGGTTTTAAGCCCAATCCGCATCCAATCCGAATTTTTCGGATTCTCAAAACTCTCATCCAGATCCAGATTTTTTCTCCTTCATCCGAATATTCGGCCCAACCGAAATTCGGTTCGGTTCGGTTCGGTTTCGGTTTTGAACCGAATTAACTCCATTTCACAAAAATCTGGGTAAGTTTTAGTTATATCCAAAACTGAAAAGAAGCAATCAAAACTGAAAAGAAACAATCAAAACTGTACTAAGCCACTTAATCAAATTGTATGATCTGAATATAACTAGCTTAATACACTAGGAGGACCATGTAATTATGTAGCCTTTTTTAGAGAAAGAACAATGTTTGGCAGGCACACACACCTTTTGATGATTTTCGTTAATTTTTAGCTGCCTTTTTCTCATCAAGAATTATCTTATATCCTTGACAGCCTATACTATAGGTTAATTTGATATCCAGCACCAGCAAGCTGTATTCATGTTATCACTGAAATTTGACCAAAACACTAAATTTATCCTTCAACCTCAACATCTTGTATTGATTTACGGAAATCTCACTTAACTATATCAGCGTACTCAAATATATGTTAGTATAAACTCCACCCCACAATTCTTAAATGCTAAACATTCAGCCATAAATTTTCTTCACACCCAAGGCTCGCAGCTACTTTTTGTTTAAGAATTCGGTTCGGTTTTTTTTGGGCGGTTCAGGGGTTCAAACCGGATCCAGACCGGTTTAATTCGGTTCGGGCGGTTTAGAGACTTCTTCTCATCCATTTAATTCGGTTCGGTTAACCGATCCGTTTTTTCGGGCGGTTTTTTCGGTTGAACCGGTTTGTTTCGGTTTTTGCCCACCCCTAGTTTTTTTGTAGCATAGCAACTATTTTGCATTTTCTCTTAAGCATATGAAGAGAAACTTTTTAAACTTTTTGTTTAATGATGACCCGAATTTGATAGTTTAGTTTAGGTCCCGAATGTACTATTTATTCAAGTCTCATACCACCTTTTTTTTTTTTTGAAATGTTTGAACTTTTATGTGTTTCTAAAATAATTGATAATTATTCTCTTTTTTGAGAAATGCTTATTTATGCTTTATGCTTTTGAGAAAAAGGCTGCAACTATAGGTCCTTCCAGTGTATTATGATTTGGAACTTAGGGGGTGTTTGTTTGCATGCAAGTGAAAGATGAAAGTGAGAAAGTTATTTTTATTTAACAATTAAGGTGTTTGTTTTCATGTAAGTGGTTATGAAAGTGAGATGTAAGAAAATTACCACATAAGATTTAATACAATTTTGACTTCCCCTAAAAAAGTGGTGAAGTCACATGAAAGTGACAAAAAGGTAACTAATTTAATTAAATAATTTTAATTATATTTTCTAAT